TTTCATATCTAAGTGCTTCAGTGGCATCCCCAAAGTCTATTAGATTCCAGAGCCTAGGGACTTTCTTGTGTGCTTCATTTTTACTACAAATGCCAAACACATTCTATTTTTAAAGAGCACCCAATACCAGGTTCACTTAAGAAATCAACTCAGATTTAGGTATGGAGTAGGGTATGAGTTCTCCACATAAGATTCAATGTTTCTTCTTAATAGAGCCTCTCCCCACTCTGCATGGGCATAGCAAGAGTTGAATGCAGCTGTGTCTATGTTTTCCTTAGAATTTTCTGAGAAGACATCATTCACTCCATCACCTGTGTCCAATTAATAATCAGTTTTATCCATTTGTAAGAAATTAGAATCTTTAAAACTTGCTCTGGGTGGACGTTAGCCTCATTTCTGGAAATAGGAACATGGGAATGAATGATTCTGAATCATGACTGGGTACAAACAAAGCTGAGTGAGATTTTTAGTAAGATATGACTGGGCAGGAAGTGGGAAAGGAGATTCTTCCTCTACTCATGCCCTGATCCAGTTCTTTACATTCTCATGGCACTTTTCTCAGAAATACATTAATTGAATATTTATTGAGGACCTATACGAGGAACTAGGCTGGATACAGCTTATACAATAATGGGTTCAAATCAGATCTGGCCTTACCTTAGTGAGATACACAATAATGAATGAACTGCAAACACATGTTGAAATGGCAGCTGTGGTAAGTGCCATAGAAAAAAGAGTCTACCATACAGGGATCTGATTATTTCAGACTTCCTAGAAGGGAGAGATACTTGAGGATGATGGAAATAAATTAGGAAGTCACTTGCCTTTAGTTTTTTATAAAATTTTGTGCTGGCACTGTGATAGGAGGCCATTCCTATGGTTCAAAACCATGGCTTTATATTAGAATGACCCCAAGTTTTATTAAGTTCTGTGTTGGAGCCACACCCTGATTAAATAGATTTGGAGAAGGGTCTAAGTATCTGAATACTTGAAGAATGACCCCATGTGATTCCTCATCATGTGCTGCCAAGATTGAAACCACTGAAGTACACAGATAGAAAGAAGGTGCTCAGAGAACTCACACTCTAGTGGAGAAACATATGTAACCATGGAGACCTAGAATAGCACAGTCAGTGCTCAGATGGAGACAGCAGGGGTGGCTGAGGCAGCATGGGGGAATCAGGGATCAGCTAAGTCCTAAAAGATGAGCAACAGTGAGCCTGGCATAAGTGAAATGATCTGATACCATAGCCCTTAGGTATGGTTCTTAGACCAGATCAGGAACCCCACTACACTCATGAGTCTGGTTAGTTTTACATAGCCCTTGCTGTGTATAAAATTGTGTGTAACTTATAGGATTATTTGGTTGCCATGTTTGCCACCCTAGTAGAATGTCCACTCTGTAGGGGCAGGGGCAATGTCTGTTTCCTCTCCCTTGTATTTCTCCTTTGTCTGGCACAAGGCAAACCCTCTCTGATGAATAATTAAATGACTGAGCCAGTGGCTTGATGGAGTTTGGGTAGGTTGTGACATTAGTCATTCATCTTAGAACTATGCCTTGGACTGCAGCATGAAGAGTGAGTTAGGGGAGGTGCAATGTGACTGCAAGGCTGGTTTGATAGCTCAGTTAGGGCTCTGTTCAGCAGGGATAGCACAGCACCCCTGTAGCACTCCAGAAGGCTGAGGCAGAAGGTTCAAAGTTTGAGTTCAGCCTGGGCAACTTAGTTAGACTCTGCTTCAAATTTTTTTTAAAAATGTTTTAAAAAAGGGCTGCATGGGGGAGTGTGGACTGGTGCCACCACTGTGGAAATTAGTGTGGTGGTTCCTCAAAAAACTAGGATTAAAAGTCCCATTTGACCCAGCTATTCCCGTTCTGAGTATCTTCCTGGAAGAATTAAAAACATCCATACCACCATGATATATGCACTCCCACGTTTATAGCAGCATAATTTTTAATAGCTAAATCTTGGAAACAATCCAACTGCACACCAACCAAGGAATGAATAAAAAAGATGTGGTTTTTATACAATGGAGTACTACTCAGCCATAAGGATGGATAAACTTGAGACATTTCTGGGTAAATGGATGCATCCTGAGACCATGCCCAAGTGAAATAAATCAGACTCACATGTGTAAATATAGCACTGTCTCCTTGGTGTGAGAAAATGGAAGAGTAAATAAGGACTAAAATGCATGATATTGTGAACTGGGAAGAAATTGTTCAGAAGGAAAGTGGAACTAATGAAGGTTTTGAGGGAAAGGAAGAAAGAGAAGATGAAATAAAAATGACAAAAAGGATAAAATGGAAACAAAGTTTTGTAAATAGGGAGTGGAAGAGGGGTTGAAGAGAGGAGAGGAGATTTGGTAGAAAAGAGGAACCAAAATGTATCATGTCCAGGTACAAATTCCTTATGATGAATATGATCATTATGTATATCTAAAATGTACCAATAAGTTTAATTTTAAAAAGAAAGGACTGGGGATACATCTTAGTGTGAAGTCCCTGGGCTCAATCCCTACTACCAGAAAAAGGGATTGAGTAGCAGAAAGGGGATCAGTTAGAGAAGCATTAGGTATACCATAACTGGAAGCACTTGGTGCTTTAGTTGTGCTGGAAGAGAACAGAAAGATGAGGTCAGCAGTAGTTCCCAAGTTTCTGGATAGAGCCACTTGGTAGTAGGGTGGTGCCTTGTAAGAGACAAAGAAGAACCTGAAGACAAAATCTGAGGAATGATGGATTCATCTCTTTGAGAGAGAGATGCTAGGAAATAAGCATAAGGGGTAACTGGATGGATGAATTTAAAAGCATTATATAATCAGGCATCATAGAGTATTCTTTTATTGAAATCTCATGGCACCAGAAATCCAGAGCTTCCTTTTAGGAGACAAGACAATGGGGTTCTGCCCCAGCACTAATATTAACTGGTGCCAACTTAAGTAACTCACAGTATTTCAAGAATACTGTGTTTCTCTCATCTTTAGTAGCAAACTTTATGATTCCTTTTGACTTTGACATAGGTACCTCCAGACAGTTCTAGAATTTAAGGAAAGAGGAACTTTCTCTTGAAAGGCTCTGTCACAGATAATTGAATATAAGGAAACCTACCTGACACTATGTTAAGCCTTGAAGGTTAACACATGGTTTCTTGGAGTGCTGTGCTGAAGAGTGTAAGCAGAGACCAAGCTTACCTGAAATAACTCTGTGATCAGTGAGTGATGTCTGCCACAGACACAGAGACTCCAACAAGTGGAACAAGGTTTCCCTCTATCACCTTTCAATGCATCAAAAAATGTTTATTGGACTTAGGTTCCACCCTGCTTCAGCCAGTGGGCTTGGGAAACTTAAATCATTTCATGTGCCTAAACTTAACAGCTCTCTAATTTGTCAAGCAGGAGTAATAATCCCCATATTTCCTACTTTTGTTATTGAAAGGGTCAAGTGAGAAAGAAACATGGAACCACGATGGTCTTTGAGAATTTATATAAATTCATACTAGTAACAGTTTGGGAGGTCAGAAATGGGGATGAAGGAACAACAGAGAACCCTATTTCCTGAAGGGTGTAATTTCAGAAGTTTGTCATTAAGAAATTAATTTTAAAATTATATAGCATCTTATAATTTAAAATTGCAAGATAGAATAATAGAAAATAAAAAGGAGTCTCATAAAATCATAAAATAATGAATAAAGAAAAAGAAGGGAAGAGGAAGGAGAACTCATTCATCGCAGGAGAGAATGTGGTGAACTAGAGTAAAAATTGGTATAGCTCTTTTGAAGAGAAGCTGGCAACGTGTATTGTGAGCCTTAACAATATTTACAATCCTTGCCATGTAATTCCACCTTGGTAATCCAGATCGGGTGTCAGGCAACATTTCCTTAAAACACTGGATATAAATATTTCAGGATCTCCGGGCCACACAGTGTTTGTCACCAAGTACTCAGTTGTACCACAGCTCTAGCAGAGCAAAAGCAGTTGCAAAAATACATATGTGAATGCTCGTGGCTTTGTTTACAATAAAGTTTTATTTACAAATGCAGACAATAGTTTGTTTTGATGGTATGCAGTAGGCCACAGTTTGCCAATCCATGAGGTAGATTAAGAAAATATTTTTAACAAAATTCTAAATATAGGGCGAGGTTTAGGCCCAAAATTTCTCATCCTAGCCTTACTTGTAAAACACAGGTGCAACTTGAATGTTCATCAGTGGGAGGAGTGATTAATTTTGATCATTCTGCTCAATGAAATATTACATAGATATTAAAGTCTTGTTAGTATAAAGAGATGGAGAAATGCTTAGAACATTATTGGAGGAATTAAAATAGTTTTTTTATAATGATGCAGATGATAATGATGGTAGCTAACATCTAGGAATTCTACATACATCAAATCACTTAGCCATGTAAAATATACTTTTTATTGTAACTACTTTAGGCAGAAGCTGATGGTAATGGAAATTGCTAGATGGTAGCAGAGTGGGGATTTGAACACAAGTTGGCTTCATGCTAAAAGCAAAAATAAGGTAACCAAACAAACTAATAAAAACCTCAAATTAAACTCTGTGTATTCAAAAGACCAGAAGAAAGTATGCTTAGCAGTTGGCATTGTCTGTCTTGAGTGGTAGGTGATAGACATTAATATTTCTTAACAGGGTCAATATTTTCTCCAATGAGAATGCACTGCTTAGTAAAGAAGAAACAATGCTTGCTTTCTGTAGGGAAGCTAAGGGTAGAAGAAGATGAGGTGGGGCTGTGGGGGGGAAATGTTTACCTGGAGGGATGTAGCGATTCCCTCTGGCATGTCCTTAACCTGCTTGGTCCCTGCTTTTGTTTGTGGAAAGGACATGATAGTCCCCTTTCCTCTGTCTTGTACCAGGCGGAGTTGCGTGGTGTTTTGTTTGCACTGTTGGCCCATTTGTATGCTCTCTTAGGTTGATCTTCCAGTCCTAACTCTCTTTCTCCTCTCTCTCCTCCCCTTGTCCATCCGTCTGTCCCACTATACAGCTGACAAGGTCAATGATGACTTCTACTCCAAGCGAAGACACTTGGCCGAGCTGGCTGCCAAGGGGAACCTACCTCTTCACCCAGTAAGAGTGGAGGATGAGCCCCGGGCCTTCAGCCCTGAGCATGGGCCTGCCAAGCAGAATGGACAGAAGTCCCGCACCAACAAGATGCCCCAACATCCCCTGGCCTACAACTCCACCACCAACTTTAAGGGCTGGGACCCCAATGAGCAGTCCCTCCGGCGGCAGGCTTATGGCAACAAGGGCAAGCTGGGTGCAGCAGAGTCGGGCTCCAGCGACCCCTTGGGAACTCGCTCCCAACATTACCCATCCACACAGCCATACTTCATCACCAACAGCAAAACAGAAGTGACTGTTTGAGCTGTCACTGCAGGGAGCACCCTGGAGACCACACTCAACTGAGAGAGGCAAAAAACATCCTGGCCCACACCTTCCCCCCCGGCCCCCCAACACCCACACTCACTCTCAACAGGAACCAACTAGGGATCTACTGGTGATTCAGAATCACGCTTTTCCTGGGTCATGCCTAACACACGTCAGGCGGGGGCAGCACTGAAGCATGGACGTTCAGCAATACAGCGAAGGGGAAGCTGAGGCAGTCTTTCAGCTTCAGGCACACGGTGGCCAACTCACAGACCCAAACCATGGGGCTAATTTTTTTTTTCTCCTAACTTGAAACTGAAATCCATGATGAAAAAAAAATATTCAAGTAGCACAATTTAGAGAAATTGTCCATTGGAGCACATATACCATTTGCTAAGTGCTGTCTGTTTCTGGGTGAAGAGGGGTACAGAAAGAAGGACACACAAGGGTGCACTTGAAAGAGGAGTTATCTTGGAAGAAAAATGCCCTTATTCTAGGCATTTTCTAATCCCAGGAAGTGATGTGGACGCAAAATGGTGACAACCGTGGAACAGAAACTGGACCGCAACCATTGTATCAATAGTACTTTTCATATCATCAATGTTGAAAGCAAAAAAACCACACACACTCAAACTCATAAAAAATAATAGACCCTGAACCCACCGACAGTGATGAGAAAGAGTGTTTAGAGAACTCCACAGAGACCATGACTATGGAAATGGGAGGGAGAGGCTTACGGCAAGGAGAGGATCCAGAGAGAATACTAAATAACTTTTGAAAGGGACAAATAAAATATGGGCGCACTGCAAAACAGACAAGAACAGCAGATTAATTTTTGTCCCAAATCTTCAAAGCTTGGGAAATCAAAATGATATCAATGACAGCAAAACCTACTGTTGGGAAAGTCAGCAGAGATGAGATGAGGACCCAGAAGATTCTGATTTCTGGTGTTTCCCTCACCTCCAAGGCCTGAAACAGCCACAGAAACAAGTCCTGTACTAACTGTCTATCTCTGACTTCCCATCCCCTCCAGCGTGTTCCTGCAGCCGCTGCCAAACTTCAACTGCTTTGGACTGAAAATGTTATAAGCGTGGGTGGTGCCTTCAATGTGTCGCTGTTGTTTGATGACAGTCTTGTTTCTCAAGTGCAACCTGTGTTCTTTTAGCCTTCCTCCTTCCTGTCTTTCTGCAGTAGTAAAAACTGTTTCCATTCTTCCTTCGTAGGTGAGCCCAGCCCGTAACACCTCTGAGGGGGCAGCTGCAATGTCAGCGGTACCTAAGGACACTCCTGCTATCCCCACAGTCCCTTTGAGTCACCTCCCCAGATACCCTGTGCCTTCATCACTCACCCAGAATTTCCTGATGTCTTTTAGATTGGTTTTTATAACCAGTAGCCCTGGGGTAGCCCAACAGAAGCAATTTTCCTAAAAGTCCTGTTTGTTTAGTGCATGGGGGGAGAAAAAAATATACAAAGTATGACGTTTCCAACTAGCCCTGAACATCTTAGATAATTAGTAGGAACTCCAAACAACCCACAGTTCCTTTGGTGTCAGAAACTGCAAAAGATCTGATCAAAGAACAGAGCATTTCTTGCAACATTCTGCCTCCAATCTCTCCACTCTGGCATCATGGAATCAGCACAAACTGGATATTTATTCTCTCCCTCACTCCCCGCAGATATGGAGACACTGACAATGCCTTTGATCTCCCTGGGCCTTAGTTTTCCCGTATGAAGCCTGGGGAATTGGGGCTAGGTCAAGCTTTTCAAGCTTTTTGAAATATCAAAGCCTCTGCTTATTTTTAAATTGAAATCTTGCAAATAATTTGCTATGTAAGGTTTCCATGTATAAAGAAGTGTCGTCCAAGATACAGCAGGGGTCAGAGACCCCTTCATGCTGAGGCCATAGCACTCCCCAAAGGGGAGTCAACAGAGCTGGGCATGGTCAGTATTTCTTTGACACCAATTAGCTACAGACCTGCAACATATATAGGCATCTGTATATCGTCATCACAATATTTGTATCTAAATTGGTTCATTTTTAAATTTTATTATTTTTAGAACAACTTCCTACCTTCATCACAAATAGAAAACCAGTATTATTTACTGTAAATAGATAGAATTAGCACAAAGACAAGGCAGCAGTGATTAAATTCTAGCTAAGTACTGGTACCTGTGAAAAGGTTCACACCCTAAAGTCTGGTACAAGCTTGCTCTATTAAAAAGAAATTAGGAGGTGTTATACTGTTCAAAATACCAGTACCCAATGGAGGCTTTCCTTGGATTAATCAGATGAACTGAAAGGTAAATGAAAAAGGAAGCTTCCTTCAAGTGAATCAGTGTTAAATAGTGTTACATCCATTGTACTCTACCTACCATCATTTTGCATAAACTAGTGGTACACAGCCCGCACTTCAGGAAATACTGGGTTTATCTGTGAGGCTCCCTCCAGCTCAAAGGTTCTATGATTCTTGTCTCCTTCCTAGCTTACCTTTGGCCTTTGCTCTCCATCCACTTTATCTCACCCTTCCTTAACTCTGACTAAGGGTTTTTCTTGGTCCCTGGATCTGTGGTGTTTTACTTTTCCCTCATGCTCCTCCTTTTTGGAGTAAACTCCATCCAGTGAACTTGGATCCTTGGAATGGGTAGATCTAATTTTGTCAGCGAAGAGGTAGCCTAGCCTGTTACAGAAGATGTAGCCATGAGGGAATCCCAGGAAGAATAAGTACCTCCTGAGTGGTACTGTCCAAGAAGGACATCTCAAGAAGTACTTCCATCTCAGCACTGTCCACAAAGAAGATGGCTTAGGGAGATGAATCGAGGAGGAAAGTTTGGACAGGGAAGACCTGTTTATCCTTTGACTTCCTTTGGAAGTGGAGACAGACCTCATGATACTGACAGAGAGGGCAATCTATGGAACTGTGCATAACTGCCCTTACCAAGGCAAGGATCCCATAGCTAAGGTGAGGAGACTTAGAAAAGAAAAACCAGATCAAAGCAGAGACTGCCCTCCTCATTCCACGCCCTGGTACTAGGCTCTTCTTCCCTTTGGCTGTCCCCTGATTTCCAACCCAGGGGGACCAGTCTAGTTTCCCTTTGCCTTCCCAGAGTGTCTCAGCCTCCATTTGCCTTGGGCTCTGCCTGGCATCCCCATCTAATTCCTCCAGTTTTTTTTGTGTAAATGGAGCATATTTTATGTGCAAATATTTTAGTAACCGTATGTTCTGCAAGTAAACCTGTGTTAATACTTGTCACAACTGCAGAGTTTATGATACCAATAATACTTCCTACAATGAAGAAAAAAACATTTGTTTGTTTTCTAAGAATGTTTATTTGTAAACATATGTATTCACTATATTAATATGAATTTCTTACCTGGCAATAAAACTGATTATATGTGACTCTGATGAGGTTGCTATGTATTTTTCTAGGGCTCTACATCCTAATCTGAGTTTCTCCCAGGAAACACCAATATTAGCATGTAGACCAAGTCTTTAGTTCACTTCCACTGTATATGTATTCTTTTCTCCTAACTAAATTGATCTTAATGGCCAAGAATCTTGCTGAGCTTTGGACTTTCCTTTTTACCAGTAACCAGAGTTGTAGAAGAATAGAATATTGAAAGGGTAGGACACTGGACTCTTCCCCTATTTTTAAAGTTTTATTTTCTTCTTGGCCTTTGTTAGCACTGAGCTTGAAATTTTTAAGTAGAATCCTGTCAGAATATGGCTTCACAGGCAGAGGCTCTGAGACAAATATTTGGGTGTAAGCAGTTTATTTAAGAAGTGGAGGTACAGTAGGGAAAGGGGAAAAGCTGAACAGGGTACCTTATCATACTAGCTGCAAATAAGGATGGCAGAGGTTTAATGCTGTAGGGAAACTTTGTTAAACACTCTGTTAAACACTCAGAATTATCCTGCCCAAGCAGACGTTTTTACTGAAAGCTTTTATGGACTGTTACTGTTCAGACAGCCCTAAGCTGCCACTGAGATTTCCCATGGCACACAAGATTTCCCACGTTACACCTACTGGTTATTTGGAAGTCACACATTCCACGCTGGATTCTAATTGTGCAAGGAGACAAAGGGTTGGGGCAGTAACTTGCGGTGACTGCTCACAGCTAGAGTTCTCTTAAGAATGACACCTCTACTCTCTGGATGCTTAGAGATTTTGCCACTGTCAACAGCCAAGGAGAGGGAACCACAATCAACAGCCAGAGTCAGAGACCTTGGATTTGGAGTCCCCTCACTGACCACATGGTCACTTGGCATCACTCAAAGCAGATCTCATGGATGCTATTTGGGACATTGTTCTGATTGTCAGAGGAGCCTACAAGGTAAAAGATGCTCTTTTAGCACGCAGGAGCTGATTAGGGGTGGACTCCCTGACCAGGACACATCATAGCCCCTGGATGCAGTCATAAGGTAAAGATTCATGCCTTTATGAGGAGGGACAGACAGCTTTTTTAGCGAGGCCACCTAGTTAGTTACAACTCATAAACAACTGCAAAAATCATGGAAAGCAAGTTTGCAAAGCTAAACACTGAGCATCTTGGACAGTCCCACTTGGGAAGTACTTGTTCCTCCTGGGCTTCTATCACAGTATTTTGCCATATTTGATCCTCACAACTATAAAAGGTAGGTTCTAATGTACTTTGGATATACTGTTCAGAGATCTATCTAATGTTTTGAGTATTTTATCCAAATGAATTCAACTAGTAAGTGATGGAACTGAAATTTGAACCCAGAGCTCATCCTTTAACTCTTCTGCCAGTTCTCACTTGGATGAGCATGTGGATGGGCAGGGGTGCTTGATAAACATACAGATTTCCAAGCTCCCCCTGCAGAGATTCAGATGAGGTAGTTCTGAATTGGGGCCCAAGATCCGGTATTTGGGGCAGACTTCCAACCACTGCAATGTGAAGTCTCCTGGATGTGGCTGAGAAATGTTGCATGGTGCTACATGGTCTGCTCATTTAGCATCTGTAGGTTTCTCTTGAGGTGGACGCTTCTAGGGGGACCCACACCTGTGGCTTCATATCCAATGTTGAAATATTGTGTCTTGTAATGAACAGAAGACTGAGTCCAGAAGACTTTGGGAGGGATGGTGGCATTTATTCAAACACAATTATGCGTGTTCTTGGGGCCTGATGCAAGCTATCTCTGGTATTCTATTGCTTCATCCCCAGAAAGAAGAGGTTGCGGTCAATAATCTTCAATCCTGCTCTCTCATCTGATTGAGCATCCCCCTTCCTCATTACTGTGGCAGCTGGTATAGCCTTCGAGATCGAATCCTTTATTATTTCCAAAGATTTATTTCTGTACAACCACAGTTTTACTTCATGTAGTAATAACCATTATGGTGACACTTCTGTGATTTGCATACTTGGTAGATACCTGGCTTTATGCTAAGGGCTTTCTAACAGCCATCCATAATCTTTATGGAGGTTCTTAATATTTTTGTGCCACAGACATATTTGGAGGTGTGGTGAAGCCTGTAGATTCCTTTCTCAGAGTAACGCTTTGCAATGTACAAAATAAAATATGTAGAATTACAAAAGAAACTCATTCTCTTGATATATGGTCATAAAAATATTTTTACAACCCACATCTGTGATATATATGTTCTTTTTAAATAAATGCATTTGGCACATGCCTGTAATCCCAGCACTCGGGAGGTGATGCAGGAGGATCGTTGTGAGTTCAAGACCAGCCTGGGCTACAAAGCGAGCTCAAGGCCAGCCTGAACTGCCTAGCAAGACCCTGTCTCAAAAAGACAAAAAAATGCATTAAATAAAAGGCTCAAATGATCAGTTTTAAAGTAATAGTAGCACACACAATTATTTAGCCACTTACTGCAACTACAATTTGATGTGACAGTATTTGTGATTCTATCAGTGACAAAGTTCACGTCAGTGCTAGCATGAGTGTGGTTTGCTGCCTACACTTATAATTGAGGAACATAATAAATTTTAATTAGAGCCTTATGAAAATGAAGATTGTTTTCCCACTTAAGTTCACAAACTCACTAAATTCTACACACTGTGTCTCATGAGAGTCTGTGATTAAGGTTAAGATAAGCACTCTTTGATTGGGAACTTAGAACTACTTGCCTATTTTTTTCCATGCATCCTTGGCTGCTGTGAGAAGTAAAATAATAAATAGATATTAGTTCAATGCTTCACATCAGGTAAATACTTAGATGTTAGCTTTTGGTTATCATAATTATTTATTTTGTTTTTGCCCTATAATGACCGTATTAAATTGTATTTTTACTACTCCCCAGTCACAGAAGAAAAAAGCGACAATCAGAGATATTAAACATGCACAACTAACAAGGCAAGTCAGTGGCAGAGCTGGTTGAAACTGATTCTTTCTGAACCTCAAGCTCCTGACTACACACTATGCTATGTCATTTCTAAAGCAATTATATTAATGTCCTCACTGCTCCCTGGGACAAAGCTAGCTAGACACTGCATAAATAGCAATGGGTATTCGAGGTTCTGAGGCAAAAGATAGTGAGATGTAAGAGGTCCAAAAAACTTTTCTGGGTGCCTATTTATTTAAAGTCATGTTGGAGACACTTAACAATAATGTCCTGTCATTCAACATAAGCTCCCTCAGTTTACTGTTGAGCAGATCCCAATTTCAAGGCCCTTACTATCCCACAAATTGTCAGATTCTATTTTTTTAATTAATTCTGTCAGCAATGCTCATCATGTAAAACTGAAATATCTTCCTCATAGATTTAATCTCAGCCATGAAAAATAATGATCATCACAATGTTAACGATGGCAACAACTGCTGCTACCAATTATTGAGTTTTTATTATCTATCAGGATCTGGGTTAGGCATTATACTTCACTGTTTCATTTCCTCCTCTGAATAGTGCTCTGAGCAAAATATGTACACCCATTTTCCAGATGGGGAAAATTAATGCTCAGAGAAATGAAATGACTCAACCATGATCATATATCTAGCAAGTTGCAGGTTTGGAATTCAAGCATAGGTGTGTCTGACTCACAGTGATCCATTTTGTGTTGGAATGATCCATACCTGTGCCTGCCTCTTTTGGAACAGAATTGTAATGTGGACCAATAGGTCCAGGGAGATAAATTCAGGGAAAGTATAGTCCTCTGGATCAGGGAGTCTCTCTGTGCTCATAACTTTATGTAGGTCATCATATTTCATTCATATAACAATCCTTTGGTAGGTGCTAACATGTTTACTCCTTCCAGCTATCCCTCCCTGGAGGCATTGGACTGTGCTGTCTTGGTTGGATTTTCTGTCTTTCATGTTCTTCAAGCCTGTTCTGCCCATTTCTCAGGTGATCAGCAAAACAGACTGGACCTTTGTAATGCTTGAGCATCTGAGGTGGAAAGGAAAACTGGAGCAGAAGAGGCCTGTGGGACAAGTGAACAGGAAACTAAGAGCCTTAACTCAGGGGACTTAGTTTTGATCTTGAGAGAGTCACTTCCTTTTTCTAGGAGGCAGTGTAAGCTTTTGGATAAAATAGGACCCCTAGAATTTGAGGGCCCATTCCTAAGTCCCAGTGGGCAAAATAATAGCACCTACCAAAGGACTGTTGTAAGAATGAAACATGACGATCTATATAAAGCTATGAGTACAGAGAGTATTATTTTTAATATTTTGAAACTTCATGCAGAAATCACCATTCCCTAGGTCTTGGAATAGAAAGCAACACTAAACACTTTGGTTTGTTTTTGTTTGTTTGTTTGTCTATTTGAGACAAGGTCTTCTGGCTGGTCTTGAACTCACTTTGTAGCCCAGGCTGGCCTTGAACTGGCAAAGATCGATCCTCCTATCTCAGCCTCCCAAGTGCTAGGATTATAAGCATGTGCCGCCATGACCAGCTTGGCTTTGGGTAAAGCACATCTGAAGTTGATGTGATACCTTTTATTCCAACTCTGCAGGTTGGTGATATCATAAGTAAGCCAGGGGTATTATTTTACTGTGGACTCTGTTACTTATACTTTTATATAATTTTTCTAAATGGGAAATTAAATAAATTTTTGTTTAATGGACATTGCTTTCTTGGTAGAAGAATTTTTCATGTCTATAAATCTATGGGTGATAAATTAATAATTAATGACTTTGATTATGGTGAAGAAAAGGCTGAGAATCCCTGGACTTTGAGGATATATTATCTATTTCTACATAACTAATACTTATCCCAAAGCTTACCAGCTTAGATGTTTTGTTTTAACCTCACAATTTTTAGATTCAGGAATCTGATGTAGTTTCCTGTGTCCTATGCATCAAGGTCTCTCCTGAGGCCACAATCAAGGTGTTTGCTGGGGATCAATTTTCATCAGGGGCTCACCTGGGTTAGGCTTATTTCCTAGCACTTCTGTAGTTGTTGGCTGAATTCAGTTTCTCAAAGACTG